TGGCAGCACTATCCGCCATGCCGCGGGGCGAAGGGACCTCGGTCGGCGCGAGGCCGGCGGGGTAGGCAGCGCAGGCTTCCGGGAGGAGGGTGGCATTCCGAAGGATGAAGAGCCGCTCGCAGCACTGGGGACAAAGGGCACAGCAAAAGGCACGGGATGTTCCAGAAAGGCGTCTGCCTACTAGCTTGGTGAAAGTCACTGGGAGGCGCCGTTATGAAGTTTTGACTTCATTAGGGAGGCATTGGAGAGTTCTAGGCAGAGTTCTAGGCAGGACAGGGTCAGATGTGGGTCACAGAAAGCCCCCAGCTGATTACTGTCAGCTGTTGGTGAAGCCGGATACGGGGAGAACGGTCTGGAAGCTTGTCCAGCAGGCCGCCTCTTGTGCCCTGGATCCCATCTTTTCGGCTCCTTCAGTAACCTGCGCCAGCCAATTGTTAGCTCTTTGCAGTATTTGCCACTTTTCCTTCTTTGCTGGCTCCCACAGGCCTTTGCTCTACCCCTCATGCTTCTTCACCTCCTGCTGTCCCTCCTCCCTTTTCTGTCACACTTCTGGCTCAGTCTGCACTTCCCCCTGAGAGGACATACGCAGTTGTCAGTCACCAAGCTCAGCTCCCTGCCCGTTAGACCTCTTACCCCATCTAGACCTCTTAGCCCCATCAGTCTCTCTTGCCTGTTCCCTCGATGTTCTCTACCCACTGATTTCTTTGGCTTTTCTGGTCACTCCTCTGCCCCACATCTCGGCGACCATAATTTTCCTATCGTCTCACTAAACATTGGAGTCTCTCCCTTCCCCACAGGCCCACTGCTCTCACCATTACCTCTTACGTGGATGAACACACTAGTTTCCTGACCGGGTTCCCTGCCTCTTTTCTGGATGGCCTTGCTCAGGCACAAATCAACCCACAGCACTTTCCTGCACAAGACCTTCCCAAGGTTCCCAAAGCCCTCCTATGGAGTCCCAGCTCTTCAGTGCAGCCACAGGGCTGTCACAATGTAGCCCCTGCCCGCCCACCTCATGTCTAGCCCTCTGCACACATCAGCAGCCTTAAGCCATTCAAAACTGCTTAGGTATCCTCAAAGGTATGAAGAAAGCTGTCCCCCGTGGCAGTGAGGTTGCACATACCGCTCCTCCAGCCCTCCCCAGCCCTTACTCAGCTGTGGTGAAAGCTTCCCAAGCCCCGTAGGCGGAGCTGCCCGCAGCCCATTGTACCGTCCTCCGGTGTGCACCCTTCTTGAACATGCTGGAGTTCTGTGCCTCAGCACTTGTCTGACTCCCCCTCTAGACAGGGGAAGACCCCACAAGAAGCAGTGGGGTCTGACTCAAAGTTTCTCCAGCTGGATGCATGCCTATAAGGCAATAGGTCTCCTCCCAACAGTCCCACTTGTCCTCTCAATCCTGGCTGCAAAGGGGAACTTAGGGCTGTTTACAGAAATGAGGTCCACCCAAGGTCCCCAAATGGCCCACATTGGAGCCTCTTCCCAGGAGCTGCAGCCACTGTGGCCACTCCCAAAGAGGAGGCCAACCACGCCCTGAGTCCCAGTGGCTTCTCATGGGGTTAGCGTTACTGATATACCAACTGCAGTATCTGACATTATCATGCACACACACACTGAGCTCAATGGGAGCAGGAACTTGGTCCTACATACACAGTGGGGGATATCAGTCCTGGAACAGGCCTGGCACACAGGAAATGCTCAATGTATATAGGTTGAATTTTCAACTGTTTCATTTAACATTCGAGGCCAGGATTTTAGAGGGTAACTTCCAGTAGCATGTGAAGCTGGACTCTAAGCAAATCCACAGTCCCTCTGCTCTATGCAGCTGTCATCTCCTCCGGCCTGGCACCAGGCTGGTGAGGACAGCTGTGGCCTGGGTAGGCAGCTCCTGAGAGCCTACACCCTTATGGGAAGCCAGTGACAACAGGGCCCCCTTTGGACAGTTCCTCAGCATGCCTTTGCCTGGTCAGGGAAACAGGTTAGCACTCAGCAGAGGCCATTCAAGGGACTCAGCTGGTGTGGGACACAAAAGGAGCCAGAGCCCTGGGTGGGAAGTTGTCCAAAAGCACCACGGCACATCCAGACCTAGGAGGTGCCACTGCCATTCCTGTCAGAACAGGGAAGTTGTGCTGCAGGCAGACTCGTGCCAGGCCCTTCCTGTCCCACACTGGAAAGCACTGGCACAGAGCAAGCCAAAAAGGCTGCTAGTGAGGCCAGCGCTGGAAGTGGGCTTCCCTTCCCACCATGGCAGTCCTGAATGTGGCTCGCTGTATCTAGGGACAGTCAGCTCCAATGAGGAAGCGCACCACCATGCTGTCATGTGAGCTGCAGGGGGACTGCTGTCTTATAATGAAAGCCCAGACCTTGAGTCACTTTCACAGAGAGATTTATCGAGAATGCTAACAGCACAGGATACAGTACTTCCCAACAAGAAGTGCAAACGCGTCACTTAGAAAGGCATGCTGAGTATTCTTTGCTTTCACATGTATTAAAAAACTTACAAAAATAAAATAAAACTGCGTGCTGCCCATCTTTTCAAATAGTAAAAGAACCTTATGAAAAAATCACTTGATTTTACAACAAAAGACACAAACGGACATTTTTATGTAAATTTATAAGGCAAACTCTTTATATAATAAATAGGTTACAGGGATTCAGTGGGGGGTGTTTTTGAAACGTATACAGGTACATTCAGACAGGTTTACTGAAATGGTACAAATTTCCTTAATAAATTGCCTTTTGTTTTTAAATATATCAGTGCTTTCAGTCATTTGGCTATACACAAAGAACCTTTTTTTTGAACACTACAAAAAAGCAATCAATATTTTTTGTTTTTAAAACGATCTACTTATTTTCTAAAGTAATTGTCCCAAAACACAAAAACTGAAGGTGAATGTGATAGAGGGCTTTTAGAGACATCTCCAGCTAAGTCTGTCCCGGGCCTCTCCCCTTGCCCCACGTGTACCACTCCCATCCTCAGATGGCTTTTTGGGCCATAGTCATCTCCTTTCTGCACAGGGTGGCCTGTGTCACTGGCAGCACTATCCACAGATCTCGGCCTCTGGGCTGGCACAGGGGAGCATCACTTCAACTTGGGAGGGGGCGGACACCCTGCCTGGTTCTTCCAGCTACTATACCCCATGTGCAAATGGTCACTGCAGTCAGAACCATCCTCTTCACCTTTCAGAGGAGGATCTGTCAGGTGCTAAAGGGAATTATCCTTGTCTCACGAGTCTAAAAACAATGTCTAATGAGGATAACAGCTTCTCTGAGAAGTATGTTTGTGCCATGGAAAGGCTTAGGGGGTTTCTCACATCTTAAGTTTTGCCGGGAATCGGATGATGGCAAAGAGCGAGAAAGAGTGCCTCCTCCATCATCATTTTATTCTCCCAGGATGGCAGGGAATAGAGATGTCACATGAGTGTTGTGCACTGGGGGACAGGGTGGAGTGAGAGAAGTGTCTTGAACGGTAATGCCCATAGGGCACACCTTGGAGAGGAGAATACCCACTGCCTGGCTTGTCCAGGAACAGCTGCGTCAGGCAACAGTGGCCAATACATCTGCCAACATATGCCTGACCTGTGCCCAAATGAAGTGTCCTGGCCACACCCTCAGGCAGGCTCAGCCCCGTCCTCCCTGTCTTCAGTGAGGTAAGCTCTGCTCACACACATTCCCTCCTGGCTCCCCTCAAAAGAACATCAACCTTGTCTTTCCTTAAAAATAATGATGGTGGTAATAATATGGGGGCGGTGGGGGGGGGGCGAGGGGGGGAGAACAAAAGAATCCAGTGGGTGGAACAAAAACTGGTTTTGCTCTGACTTTGAAAGTCGCAACACAGCAGCTATTCGGTCTGTTGGCTCGGAATGGGACTCCCGGCTTAGCTTCTCTGGGTGGTTTCTGGCTGACCTGGGCAGGGGTCTTTTCGGGTCTCCTCCTCCCCAGTCACCATCCCCCTCCCTCCGAATGCTTTTGTTTGTAAAGAAAAGGTGTCTAGAAGCATTTGTCTCTGGAACAATTACTTTAAACAAGGTTACAATACAGATTTCAGTTCAAACACAGAAGAGATTTACTTAGCGAAGTTCCTTTCACCCACCAAAAATTACACAAATATAAGCCTCAACGCCACAGTTAAGAGGACCAGTAGAGAGAACCTCATGTTTGGAACACAAAAGGAGAAATAAAAACCAAACCAAACCCAAACAGAAAAACCCCAGAAAGACAAGGAAAAGGCTAGGAAGGAAGGGGAAGGAGAGCAAACACAGCACACATTACAGTGTCCAGATACACGGGAGCCCAGCGCGAGGAAAGGGCTCGGCACACATTGAGTAACAGTCCTGGTGATATTTGGTCATATATTCATCAACTACTGACTCTGGAGCGGCTGTTATTGATTGAAGCAGTGACAAATCAAACGGAAAAGGAGGCCGTGGTAGCAAGGGAAGGAGCAGGCTTCAAGTTCTGCAAGCCTTTTGCATTCCACTGTCCAGCTCCCCAGAAACACTGACCAGGTGGGCCCCGCTCCATCCGGGCGGGGCTAGAAGTCACCGGGTGAGGCTAACTCGGGTGCTGATTTCATGTCAGTCAGAAAGCACGCACGTGGACACACGCAGACACCCACCTGTTAGTGGCCAAACATCAGCGGCAACGGCCTCCTCTGCCCCCATCCCAGGCTGTGTGGGAAAGATCTTCGTGACCCACTGCTAATACTGAATGCACGCGGGAGCAGGCCCGGGGATGTGGGCCCAGAGGCTGCCCCAGCCCTGGTCCTCCAGGGGCCTGAGGGTAGCCCAGCCGCTCAAAGGGCTGCAACTGTTTCTCTTTTGGAGTCAGGCCTCAGAAGCAATGACGCAGGGAGGGAAGATTTTGGCCCTGGTGATTATAATGCTCTCTGCTTTGGAAGAACAAGTTTCTGAATTTTTTTGGTGTTTTTAGTTACTTAAAAAAATGATCAAAAAGAACTGTTACAGCTAAACTCTCCAGCAGATATTGCTCATTAAGAATTACAAAAGCAAATGCAATTACTCGTGGGATGGGGAGAAGAGAAAGGGACGTTACTGGAGTCTTCGCTACTTCCTGGAGGGGACCAATTGGGCTGTCGCATGTGGTTCTGGTGCTCTGGCGTTCTACCTGGTGCAGCTCACAGGTTCAGAGACAGAACAGGCCTCCCATCTGTACCCCCGCCCCCTGGACTTAGCAAGGAGGGTGAAACACGCTTCAAGCCCTACTGGTGGGGAGGCCTGCTAGGCTGACTCTCCAGAAGGGCTCACCCTGACTGGGTCACTGGAGCAGTGGAGTCAGGCCATCCCTGTGGACTCCAGCTCCCCCCACAGGTGGAAGGGGACTTCAGCAGGTCAAGGGGTATCCTGCATCCAGGAGGAACAGAGTGCAAAAGCTGGTGCT